GTTACTCAACTAGAAATTGGATTTTTTGATATTTGGTAACGAATAAAGTATAATATAAGATTTTTTTAATGTTATATGTGAAAAAAATTGTGTAAGCTGATCCGATTTTTCTTTAAATTTTCGGAAAATGAATATAAAAATTTAGAGAACTAAACTATAAAAGAAGAAAACATACATAAGATTCATATTTTTGGTATACAACTCTATAATTAAATTTCGATTTTTTTCTCTTGAAATTTTAAGGACGTTTAACTATACTTTAATTATTTTAATTTTGACTTTGTATGAAAGGAGACACAGTGAAAGTTAGAGTAGAAATAAAAGACAAAATCGTAAAAAAAATGTTTCAAATCAACATTTAAGAAAAGATTTCGATTTTTAACTGCTCCCTAAATTTTAAATATTAAAAATGTTTACTAATTGAACTTAGTGACTGACTTTTAGCTATTGAATTAGTAAAGTTTACTAACAATTTAGTAGAAATTACTATATTTATTAGTAAACTTTGCTAATTCAAAAGCAAAAAGTCAGCCACTAATTCAAATTAGTAAACATTTTTACTAATTTAAATTTAAAGATTATATCAAGAAATTGATTTAAATATGCATTAAAATTATTTTTGTAGTAATTTTTTTAGAAGAAATCAATGGTCTGAAAATAAAATCGGTCAGAAGATGTGTTCTGTCACTTTTTGAGTTTTTATTTTTCTTAAAAATTGATAGATTTTAAAATTCATCCATAATTTTGTACAAAATGTTTTTGTATCTACAAAAAAAAGTTAACAAATGAAAAATAGATTTTTACAATTTTTGAAGCTTTTTTTTTAAAGAAAACATTGTTTTTAGGTTGAAAACTTGAAATTACTAAAAAATACCATAGTTATTCAATTTTTTAATATGGAAATTCACTTGCTTTTTTTAACTAACTTCAAATCATAATTTTTTAAAAATAAAGAATAGAAAATATACAAAAATAAAAAAAAAATAAAAAAAAAATAAATAAATAAATAAAATAAAAAAATAAAAATAAAATTATGATTTGAAATTATTAGTTAGAAAAAAAGACAAGTGAATTTCAATATAAAAAAATTCAATAACAATGATATTTTTTAGTATTTTCAACCTAAAAACAATGTTTTCATTAAAAAAAAATACTTCAAAAATTGTAAAAATCAATTTTTTCATTCGGCAATTTTTTTTTGTGGATACAAAAACTTATTTTCTACAAAACTATGGATGGATTTTTAAATCTTTCAATTTTTATGAGAAATAAAAATCCAAATGGGGTCAGAATATTTTCTGCCCTAATTTATTTTCTGACCATAGAATTCCTCTGAAAAAATTGCAACAAAAGTAATTTTATGGAAGATTTAAATGATTTTTCTGATATAGTTAGAAATTTCAACGGTCACAAAATAAAATCGGTCAGAAAATATTTTGCGTCATTTTGAATTTTTTTTACTCAAAAATTGATAGAATTTAAAATCTATCTGTAATTTTTTAGAATATCCACAAAAACAATTTCCGAAGGAAAAAATTCATATTTACTGTTTTTTAAGCATTTTTAAAAAAAAAATATTTTTTTTAGGTCGAAAATGCTAAAAAAATACAATTGTTATTTGTTATTGAATTTTTTCATATATGGAAATTCAATTAGTTTTTTTTCTAACTAATTTCCAAATCATAATTTATTGAATTTTTTTATATGGAAATTCAATTTGTTTTTTTTTCTAACTAATTTCCAAATCATAATTTTTTAAAATAAAAAGTAGAAAATAAGTATAGAGAAATGATGATAAAATTATGATTTCAAATTTTTAGTTTGAAAAATAAACAAGAGAATTTCCACATAAAAAATTGAATAAAATTGGTATTTTTTAGCATTTTCAACCTAAAAACAATGTTTTAAAAAAAAAAATGTTAAAAAATGTTGGATGGACTTTAAAATCTTACAATTTTTAAGGAAAATAAAAATCCAAATAAGGTGAGAATATTTTCTGTCCGATTTTATTTTCTGACCACTGAATTCCTCTGAAAAAATTAACAAAAGTAATTTTATGGAAGATTTAAATATATATAGTAGTTATATAGTTAGAAATTGCAATGGTCATAAAAAAAATCAGTCACAAAATATTTTACCTCTTTTTGAATTTTTTTTCACTCAAAAATTGATAGAATTTAAAATCCATCTGCAATTTTTTAGAAAATTTTTTTGAATATCCACAAAAAAATTTCCGAATGAAAAAAAATCATATTTACTATTTTTGAAGTATTTTTTTAAAAATAAATATTGTTTTTAGGTCGAAAATGCTAAAAAATTCCATTGTTACTCAATTTTTTTATATGGAAATTTTTTTGTTTATATAATAATTTTATCATAAGTCTTATGATAAAATTATGATTTGAAATTAATTTGAATAATAAACAAGTGAATTTCCATATAAAAAAATTGAATAAAAGGTGTATTTTATCATTTTTAACCTAAAAACAAATATTTTTTTCGAAAAACTGCTTTAAAAGTAGTGTAAATCAAATTTTTTATTCGTTAATTTTTTTTCTGGCTAACAAAAACATTATCTATAAAATTACGAATGGATTATAAAATCTATCAATTTTTAAGAAAAATTCAAATAGGGTGAAAATATTTTCTTACCGATTTTATTTTATGACCATTGAATTCCTCTCAAAAATTACCGTAAAAATAATTTTATTGGAGATTTAAATCATTATTTCTTGATATAGTTAAAAATGTAGCCGAACTCAGTCGTAAAATTGAATTTATAATGAAAGTGAAAATCAAAGTGAAAATTAAAGTGAAATTTGAACTCAAAATTAAAGTCAAAGTCAAAGTGAAAATCAATGTCAAAATCAAAGTGAGAATTGAACTCAAATTGAAAGTGAAAGTCGAAGTGAAAGTCAAAGTCAAAGTCAAAATCAATTTCAAACCCAAAGTGAAAATGAAAATGTTTGTCAAAGTCAAAATCAAAGTGAAAATTAAAGTCAAAATAAAAATTTAATTATATAGTTGCATTAATAGTATAACACGTAAAATATTATCGATTATATTTTGACAAGACATGAGGTAATACATTTAGAAACTAAGATAAATAAAAAAAAGTATGAATGAGACGCAATTAAAATGACAATGATATAATTTTGTGAATGAAAATATGGATTTTTTTTAAAGGAGTTAATAAAAATTAGCAATTAGCAACAGAAGAATTGCTGAGTCCTGCACATAAACACACTACAATACCAGCACGAGCCCCATGTGAAACAAAACGAATGAAACAAGAAACAATTTAATAGTCAACAGCCAAGAAGGCAGACATTCACAAATCATTAGAACGAAAGACTGATTAATGATATTACTGAGCTGAACATACAAAAAGGTCAATGATCTTTTAAACTTACTGATGCATCGTTAGATATATCTTTTAGTTTCCCTTAAATAAAAATAATAATAGTCAATTTATAATAAGTCCTTTTATACTTTTAGCAATAATTGTTTTTAATAGGAGTTGAAACGATTTTTTTTCAAATTTCTTTTTTTTCTTGTTGTTTCCCTTGAGGTTTTAATTAAAACTTTTTGAACTTTTTCCCCTTACAGAATGCGAATGTATTAATGATATAAAAAGTTAGATTTAAAATTTATTTTTCAGGATGATAGAATAAATTTTGGGTGTAATTCAAAAAAAAAATAAATAAATAAATAAAAAAAAATAAAAAAATTTGTAAAAATTGTGTAAAAAATTGTCTAATGTTCTAATGGAATAGTTCTAAAGCAATGAAATATTCCTAACATTCCAATGGAATATTCCTATCGTTATAATGGATTATTCTTAATATTCTAATGTTCTAATGGATATTCCTAATGTTGCAATAAAAGATTCCTAATATTCCAATGGAAGATTTTTAATATTTCAATAGAATATTCCCAATGTTCGAATGATATATTCCAGAAATATTAATAGAATATTCCGTGTTATTGGGTTGAATTTATGATAAGAAAAAAGTGAAATATTTCTAACAGCATCAGAATTTAAAAAATATTAAAATCGTGCCATTAGTGGCGTTAGGCTTTTGATTATTATTATTATTTATTATTATCATTATTTTGATTAATATTATTATTATTAATATTATTATTTTGTGTTAAATGAATAAATTGACTCGTTGTCGAGTTTTTTTTTTAAAAGACAAGTTAGAAGTTAGGTTCAAGTTCGCGTGGAGCTGGTAGCGTGACGCTGCTTAACACACGAACTTTGATCCAAAAGATCTTGTTTAGTTTGGCATTACAAAGCTTCAAGTCACACAGGAAAAAAACAAACAAACAAACAAACAATAGTTGGAAGTAGGTCACAAGGTTAGGTCAGATTTCTCGGAAAAGTCCATCAACGACATTTGGAAGTGCAATTTTGTAATTTTATTCTATATTATTTTTGTAATTTTACAATTAATTTCGTTATTTTTTTTTCTTATTATATTATTTATTTTTTGATTCCTTCTCTTATTAGGTTCACATCGAATTTTTATTTTAAATTTCACGCGCTTCTTCTTTTTTTTTGGCATAGTTTAAATGAAGACTTTTATTTTCACTTTCATTTTCACCTAAAAAATATGAAAATAAAAAAGTGAAAATAAAAAACTATCAAAACGAAAAAGGAGATAAAAGTTAAAATGAAAAAAAGATATATGAAAGTGGAAATCTATCAAGGTGGATGTAAAAGTAAACAAAAAATGTATCAAAGTTAAAAAATGAAAGTGAAAATACAAATTTAATTAATTTTTTAAAAGTAATTACAAAATTGCACTTCAAATGATTTGAAACGAATTTTTCGTAATTTTGATCATTGAAAAATTTGAAAAGCGGAAAACAGGTGAAAAACAATGGATTTGGTTCATTAGTCAAGCAGCGTATTTTAAAAAAAAAAAATTTTTTTTTTGGTTCACAATACATTTTTTTTTTTTTTGTAGTGCGATTTTTGCATATGGACTCACCAATCCTCTTGACGTGGACGTCTCGATTGAAGGAGACACTCCTCTCAGTGGGCTTCCAACCGGAAGGGTAAGTAGCGTCGTGTAGCGAATCAATTTTTTCGGTTGGATGGGACGCCTCTCCCTCAATGGCGGATCTCAGTGAGTCCGTACGCTGGACCTCGGGCATCTTTTCCGTCTCTTTATATGTTTACGTCCACTCATAACAGGTGGCCTTTCTCTCTCTCTCTATCTCTCTTTCTCCTTTTTGCCCCCACTCAAGATCCGCCAAGCTTATATCTCAATTTGCCACCCTCGCTTTTAAATTTTCTTCCTATCTCTTTCTTTCTTTCTTTCCTCACTTCCTTCTCTCTTTTTCTATTTGTACTCACAATTTTATCCTCGTTTCTCCAAAACCTGGAAAATTTAACTATTGTAAAAAATTGTTTTCACGAAGAAATTTAGAAAAAAAAATAATCTTAAAAATTATAAATTGGAAAAATAAATTTATAAGAGGGTCAAGACAATTATATTTCAAATAAAGTCGTTGCGGTCTAATTTTAAAAAATAATTTATAGGTACTTTTAGGAGACGCATGAAAACTCCCCAATTTTTATTTTCCGAATCTTTATTTTATCGAAATTCTTTTTATCAAATAAAGAATTAATTATAATTTCTTTTAATCGAAAGAATAATTGTCAAAAACATTATTTTCTTGAATGACTAATTAACAGAATGTTTAATACTGCGAAAGAAAATTTTTTATTATCTTCAAATAACTGAATTATCATTTCTAAAAACTATTATTTTTTATATTTCTTATTTACACTAATATTTTTATTTTCGAAATGTCAATTTTGATAAATATTATTTTATAGATTTGTTAATAATTATAATAATTATATTCACGAATTATTATTCAATATAATTCAAATATTACCGAATTACCAATTCTTAAAAAATTTATTGTTCCTAATAATATTTTTTTATAATGTGTAAATGTTCTATATTTTAAAGTTTCTAAATTTTATTTTTTTCGAAATATCATTTGTTATAAAACTTTTTTCTTATAAATGTTTTTCAAAATAATTTTAACTTTTTCGAATTAACATTACTCATAATTTTCTTTACTCCTAATCATTAGTATAATATATTAAAAAAACTAATTGTTCCAATGTTTGGAAAAAAAGTCAAAAAAGTTACAATTTTTGAAAATAATTCAGAAATCGCGTATACCTTTAACTTAATATTTCTTGTATATATTTAAAGGAAAAATTAAAAAAGTGATAAGAAATCCTGAAAGTTCATCAAAAATACTCTACATTAGGTGAGTTTTGATTTAATTCAATAATTCCACTTTCTCGTAATTAATTATGATAAAAACATCAAAATTATAGGTTATTTGGCGGATCGACTTTAAAAACATATTTTATCAATTATTTTTATATTTTCACTGTAGTTTTATTATTAAAAATGAGAATATAATAATAAATCAACTAATTTTAAACATGAATCAATAAATCTTTTTGCAGTTTTAAGTATTTTTCTATCCTTTTTTAAATATTTTCTAATTACTAAAAAAGTGCCGCATTTTTTCGCACCTTCTCCACTGACCACTTTACACTCATATTTTAAGAAAACTAATAAATATTTTAACATATTTCTTTTCATTTCGTTCTCCAGAGATCATACAGATTCATTTCTAAAAAGTATCAATTTATTTAAAAAAAATTAGACCGCAACGATTTTATATTCGAATTATAATGGTTTGACCCTGATTAAAATTTTTTTATGATTGAAAGTTATTTTTTTGCAGGGGAGATAAGAGTGGGCGCGCAAGGGGAATTTGCATTGAGTCTACGAATTAAGATGCATCAGACATTTTTTTCATTTGAGGGCCAGGCATCTCGCCCTTGAAGACAATGGGGGTCATCTCACAAGGCCATCTTCCTACGACACGGGTTCGCGGCACATGCGCGTGAGACTGTAATTCAAGCTCTTTATTTGTCCGTAGCCCCCTTCGAACACGCCAGATTTAAATGAGACAATACACATAGTTTGCGATCATGGGCGGGGATTAAGATTCTGCGCTGTGAAAACCCATATTTGGAATTGATCCGCGCATATATAGACACTCTCCCCCCTCTCGCTAAATATATATATAAAAGCACTCGAGTATAGCTATGGTAACAATATTGCACTGTAATATTGACAATATTGTGTTAATATTGTATGGTAATAATTCCTATATTGCTTTATATAACATTGACTCATGCATTGATTCATTGAATTCATTTAAACGCCTAAAATTTTACTCTGGCCGCCATATTGGATCCGCCATTTTAAAATTTGTGAAATGACACATATTTCGTCAAGTTTTTGGATTGAATTTGAGATATTATAAAATACTTTTGGTTCAGATTTAAAAATATATGAAAAGAAGTGGTGGCCTACTTGAGAAAGAATAAGTTGCACCCAGCCCGGTCCCGGGGGACATTGAAAGTGACATTAAGATATTTTACACGCCTTTCTGAACTTTATTACAATGCGTCGGAATTCTCCGTATTTGACTTCCCTCGTAACCCCTTTCCTCTGATGTCTTTTATTGCCTGATCGAGTTACATGTGTCTTCCACCATATTTAAATTAGGAATGTTTCTCCATCAATCGTTCGAATGTTCAAAGAACTGTGAAATGAATTATGGTGTACAGTTCTATTTAGAAGATGATCGTTTAGTTTATTTTTATGTTAGTTTATATACGTGGAACAAAACTAATTTGTATTTTGAATCTGTCCCTTTCACTTTTCAGTGGAGAATTTATAAAATTGAAATTAGTAGGTACATTTTTTTGAAAGTTTTTTTTTTATACTTTATTGAAAGAGAAATTTATATAGATTCTATTTTATTGACGCGTGAAATATGGAAAAAATATTAGTAAAAATACTATTAAGTATTCGAAAATTTACAACTTTCAACTATGCGGCCAAATCTAAAATCTAGAAAATCTTAGGAAAAAACGAGAACATATTTTTGAACACAACATTTTTTTAATTTTTTAGCTATAAGTCCAAAATATATCGAACCTTGGACAAATATAAGGCAAAATAGTTAAAAACCTTAAAATTTTTATATTTTGACTATATGGTCAAAGGCAAAAATAATTTAAAACCTTAAAATTTTTATATTTTGACTATGGGAAAAATCTAGTGAACCATTCAACAAAATAAAAAATTATAAAAATATTTAAAAAAATTTAAACACACAAAATTTCTAAATTTTGATTATAGTAAAAAACTAGTGAACCATGGTCAATATCAAAAATATTTTAAACCCTTAAAATATCCATATTTTAACCATTTTCAACATTCAATTGTTTCTAAAAATTTACGCTATAAGGCTTTTAATATTCAATTATTAGGTATATAACATTTTAACTGAAATTCTATTTTATATGAATTTATTATTAGAAAATTCTACTAGAGTTCAATTATTTAAATTTTAAAAATAAATAATTTATTGAATAATTGAATGTTTCTCAAAAAATTGAATTTTGATCAAGAATTTTATTAAACAATTTTTTAAATATTAAATTCTTTTCACGAACTTTAAAACAATTTTTAAGAATAATTTCATTTTTCTAGAAATTCGATTAAAATTGTATTAAAAATAATTGAATCCTGTAAAAAAATTTGATTTTTCTTAAGTACTTGAATTATTGAAAATAAACTTATAAAAAATTTGTAAAGAATTGAATGTCTGTGAAATTTTTATTATTTGTAAGTCAGTTTATGAAAATAAGTAAACGTTTTCGTAGAATTTTATTACTTTTGAAAATAATTGATTTTCTGCAATCATTTGTAACTTCTCCAAAATTCAATTTGTTGTAGTGCTTTTAACTAAAATTCTTCTATAAATCCATTATTTCCAATAACTATAGTTAAATATATATTAAAAGAATTTAACTAATTTTAACAGAATTGAAATTAAAATTCTTCAATAAAAATTAGTTCTATATAAAATTAACAATTCAAATTATGAAAAATTCAAATTTTCAAATATTTTAATTTGAATACTTTTCAAAAATCAATTATTTCTAAAAATTCACGCTATATAAATATCTGTGAAATTGTTATTATTTTATGAAAATAATTAAATTTTTGCGTAAAATGTTATTAAATTTTTTTTTAAATAATTGAGTTGTTTTGTAAAACTTTATTTCGGTATTTTTTTCAAGGACTTTATTAAAACTTAATAAACTTTAGTTTACTAAGTAAAACTTTATTAAAATAGTAGATATTGAAAATCATTAAATTAAGGTAAATTTTTGAAAATAATTGAAAGAGGGACCGCAAAAAGTGCCCGTTTTTTGTACATCGACAATTATCACAAAACGTAAGTAAAAAAATTCGGCCAAAAATCTTCTTAATCTGCGTGAAAATTGTAGTTGATCATAATTCTTGGTTTTTATTTAAGGGTAGCCAAACTCCTAATTCAACCCTCTAAATATTTACAAATTATGAAATTCATACCACCATAAATTCAACAAAAATAATTAATTATCAACGGTAAAACTGATAAATAACTAAAATAAAAAATCCATTTTATAAAAAAACAATCTCAATTACCTTAAGATCCTCAAAATGCTTTTCAACCCCCAAAAAACTACCCCTATTTGAAAAATTGACCAAAATAAACACAAAAAAAATTATTACTCTCCAAAATCTTCATCAAAATTATAAATAAAATTAATTAACTAGTGAGACTTAATTTCCTTGCTAATGTAGATTAATCCACCCTTCAAAAACTACCCCTAATTAAAAAAATTTACCACATTACACATTTAAAAAATTATTACTCCGCAAAATCTTCACGAAAATTATAAATAAAATCAACTAACTAGTCAGACTTTAATTCCAGGCTAGAGTTAATCAATCAACCCCAAAAAACTACCCCTTATTGAAAATTTTATTATATTCCACATTTAAAAAATTAATACTCCGCAAAATCTTGACGAAAATTATAAATAAAATCAACTGATCAGCCAGACTTTTATTCCATGGTAGAATTAATCAATCAACCCCCAAAAACTACCCCTAATTGAAATTTTACCATAATACACATTTAAAAAATTATTAATGCGCAAAATCTTGACGAAAATTAAGAATAAAATCAACTAACTAGCCAGAATTTAATTCCATGCTATAGAAGATTAATCAACCCCCCAAAAACTACCCCTAATTGAAATTTTATCATATAACACATTTAAAAAATTATTAATGCGCAAAATCTTCACTAAAATTATAAATAAAATCAACTGACAAGCCAGACTTTAATTCCATTGTAGAATTAAGCAATAAACCCCCAAAAACTACCCCTAATTGAAAATTTTACCATATTACACATTTAAAAAATTATT